TATGAGGCTCAGACTGTCAAATTGCAATTGGGGACCTATGCATAATGTAATGTCCTGTTTTGGAATTTAAATATTTCAAGATGGAATGTATCACATTTGATATTTATCCTACCTGGTAATTTTTCCCCAAGCTCAACAGATGCTGCAAAATTTCGGTGCTTTCATATTTCAACAGATTAGTATTATATCTACAGTCTTCATAGATATGTGGAGAGAAAATAAATATCTAAATTTGGAACCCTGGAATAGACCTCTGTCATGCAGCACGCATTTCACGGAGTGACTGCTATGGTCCAAGTGTTTGTGTTCCTTCTGTAATTTATATGTTGAAATCCTAGCCTCTAGGGTGATGGTATTAAGAGGTGAAGCTTTTTGGGAGGTGATTAGTTCACGAGGATGGAGCCTTCAGGAACGGGATTGGTGCCATTATGAGAGAGGCCCAAGGGAGCTCTTTTGCCCCTTCTATCATGTGAGGACACAGCTAGCAGGTGCCATCTGTGAACCAGAGAGCAGTTCTTCACTAGACACCAAATCTGCCAGTCTCTTGATCTTGGGCTTCTCAGTCTCAGGAGCTGGTAGAAATACATTTCTTTTGCTTATAAGTCACTTAGTTTATGGTATGTTTGTTGTAGCATCCTGAGTGAACTAAGACAGTAACCCAGGGCCAGAACCCAAGAATTCACTTCATGACAAGCAAGGTAATTATGTAATTTGTTGATCAAATTAAAATAATTTGGAGAGCAAAGGGTGTTCCTAAAGATCATACTGAGATGAAAACCTGGGACCATTTCAGGCAAATGTGAATAGTGACACTAGGAGTGAATAAATTCAAATCCTCAGCCGCTTCTGATTCTATGGCTGTGATACAACATCTATTGAAGACGATAACATTTTATTTTAGCTCTTGTTCAGGTAATTTTTAAAAAGTATTTTCTAAATACTAAGTCTTCAGAAATATTATTTATAAACACAGACTACATAAACCCATACACATAGACATATTTATTCATTCAACATTTCATTCATTCAAGAAATAGTAATTGAGCACCTTTTATATTCTAGACAGTGTACTAGATTTTGGGGGTAAGTCTATTTTTTTGTGATAAGAAAACAAGAGCTGGTGTTGTTGTCTTTATGATTTATGTTGTCTAGTATATGCAGTGGACATTAAGCACAGTTACACAAAACACTGTCAGAACTGTGTTGTGTTACCAAAGAGGTTCACATGGGCCTAAGGGGAATATAAAACAAAAATTTGAATCTGTCGAATAATTCAGAGGAGTGTTTCTCAGCAGGTGATAACTGTGCTGAGATGAAAAGGATAAAAAGAGCAAAGTGGTCATCATGAGAAGGTAGAACAGAGAGAGCAATTTGCTTAATACCAGACTGATGCCAGGTCCCATCCAATCCAGATACACCCAAGGAATACTGGTGGGCAGATCTTGGTAACAGATTGGGTTTACATTTTCTTTTTGTGGGTAACTTTTGATTTCCTAGTGTGGTAGGTGGGCTTATAGCATTTGACTGTATGTTGGAGAAGGAAGAGAAGGCTGGAGAGACTTAAAGAAGAAATTGTGATGGAGAAAGAGAGGTAGAGCAACTCTCATAGGACAGAGAACTGCAGGGATCAAGCAGACATGCTCAAGAGATGATGTGTGGAAAATGTATGATGTATGATTAATGACTATTTCTCCATAAACCTGGAAGTAAATGGCATGGCTTTTGAAGATGGATTTACATTTGAGGGAGGCTGAGATTGGCCAGGTGGAGAACAGTGGTGGCCTGAGAAGGCCCTATTTCCTTTTAGCTTGCCACATATGTTCAAAGGAATTTACTAATTTTTGTCATGTTTTGTATTCATGTAGCTTTTCTAATTCTTACAGTAATTTCTCTGCAGTTTCCAGGAAATCAGCTACAGTAATGAAATGTGAGCTAGTTATCTACCTCATTAGGATTATCTATATAAACTTCCTAGCTTAACCCCTTGTACTTTGTATAACAAATTACGTTTTCCCTCCCCAGTAAGAGTTCCAATTTTAGGGAAGTTTAAGGTAAAGAGGGCTACCATTTGACCTGTTCATCTGTAAATAAATATTTTTGATGTTGTGGTTGTGTTATTAGGCAGATAATGTGTGCTTGTGTGTATATGAGTGTGTGTGTGTATATATGCATGAACAAAATACATGCATGCATGTGCAGGAAAGTGAGAGCCTAGTTTGACACCAAGTTTTAAAAAATTTACATGGGTACAGTAAGGCTAACACAAATAAATCAATTTTTAAGTAACATGACTGTTACCTAAAGGTTGATTTGCCCAGAAGTTAAAAGGGTATATACTAGAGAAAATTAAATGTAAAATAATGACTCACTGGGGGGTGGGGATTTTTATTAGGTCCATATGCTTATAATTAAATATAAAATCAAGAAAGATACCAACTTATATATAGGCCCCTGCATTTTTTAAGCCATAGTTATAGTTTTGCTCAATTGATTCATGCCCAAAGTTTTATGTATTTTCTCTGTCTCAGTGGTTTCCATGACTTCAAAATACCCTATATACAGTTGAGCCTGGTGTGGAATGATAGTACAGAAAAGAAAATTAGTGACTTCTATCAGAATAAGCCTTGAACAATAGCTCCAAAGCAGAAAGTGTGAGCCCACATCTGAAAGGGAAAAACAAATGGCTATGAATAATGCAGCTATGTAGAAGCAGAGTGGGAAGGCAAAAAAAGTTTTCAGGCTTATTTCTGGTTCAATTCAATGGCTATCTTTCTATATATCTGCAGTGAATACAGGGTTTTCTCATTGGCTAGACGAAAATGTCACAAAATACTAAATTTCATGTTTTTTTTCTTTACATGGAGTTTTCACTGCATTCTTCTTGTCCCTAAGATAATAAAACTCTTTATTTCCTAATTGCTCAATGGGGGATACACTTGGCTAGGATAATAATGAGCTGCCATAAAGCCTCAATTTCTGGAAGGCTCTGTGGATTCAGGGAAGTCACAAGGTTTACTAAAGTGAATTCCTTTTTGCTTGCAATTGATCCCCCAGGTAATGTAGACTAAAGAAGAAAGATACAACTTCAGGCATTAATGGAAAGGCCCCATGATCTGGAAAGGAACTTTTTTCAAGTGAGGGCATGTCAGCCACAGAGATTTAAAAACATGAATCACAAGATCTGTATGTTTTAGTGAAGTGCCCCGAAATGTCTTGACATGAGCTGGTTGTATCACAGAAAATCACCTTCCATTGACTCTAAGCCTAATCATTTACATTAGAGATTCAGCTGGAAGCCTGCCTAAATGTTTGAGGGATTATTTTTATAAATTCAGAGTAGATAGTGTGAATACTAATTGTCTTATTAATGAGAGGATAAGCAGCTCAACAATGACAGTCTCTGTTAATATCCAAAGATGAGCACTCAACATGGCATGGGACTGGTGGCTACAGTCTTCATAAGGCTGAGTAGGCATTTTAGGAACTACTATTCACTAAGGTGTGGATGTGGTCTTCCCTCTGATTCCTTTCCAAGACATGGATCATGCAGTATTTTTAAAGATATAGCTGTAATGTTTGTCCTCAGTCTTTTGCGAGTATTACTATTTTTAAAGCTCTGAGAGCTATCAGTAGAAAAGCACTAGCCCCACTAAAGTCTTTATGTGCAGAGGAGTTACAAGATCAATACTGATTACTGAGTTGGTTCTCTGTTGCACAGTTTAAGGATGATCATGCTATAACACTGAAATACTAAGCAGTAGCTTAGAAAGATATAATACTGCATTTGCTGGTGTTATTTTAACATCAAAAAGACAACTGGTGATCCCTTAGAGTTTTAATGTTAATGAATTTCTAAAGTTTAGAAAAGTAAAATATAACTTGTAGGCAAAAAAAAAATCTCACATGGCATTACACATAATACCTCCCCTAAAGTACCTTTCAGTAACATAATGGTATTTTTAAACTATAATTCCATTTTACTAGATTATTAGGTATTAGATTTTTTTATTACTGTGTTCTCAGAATATCTTTTTTATCCATTTTGAAGGAGTGTTCTGAATGTTGTAATAGTGGAAGCTTGGACTTAGAACAAGAGAGGGAATAGTTCTTCTCTCCCACTCCCTGATTCTGGTCTCTCAATATCCCTTGAGTTTGTTAGAACACATATCACAATAAGAATGATAAAGAAGATAATGAGAATATTTAGTTAGATGAAGAGAAGACTTAGGAAGAATGTGAAGACTGTCTTCAAATATTTGCATGTTCCATGGATTTCTTGAATAGATGGATGGAGGGGTAAGTGAAAAAATGAATGAATGAATGAATGAATTCAGCTCTTAGTGGAAGGCATAGGGAAGCAGCAGGCAGTGGTTGAAATACTCTCTACCTTTAGGGGATGTACACAAATGAAAAGACAATGACTACGTAGGGTGGCAAGTAAAGGAGCGAATACATTGTTTCTGAGTAGCTTCATATGGCAGAACTAAAGTGAGTGTCAATTTTTACTTTAAATATATGTTATGTCAAATGATTTCATAGTTCTAATACAAAAATATTATTCAATGTAACATGTTTGTTGAAGACCTACTATATGCAGTTGCCCCAGAAAGATACGAAATACGTGCGTGGGTGGTGGGACAGGTAGCATAAGGATGATAAGAACACCATTAGGAACATGTGCTTTGGTAGGCAGTGAGCTTCCACATCTGCAAATGCATTTAAAAGTTGCCCCCAGTATGGTGTAGTACAGGTGTTAGGTCAGTGTGTTCAATTCATTCAACTAGAATATGTTAAACATTTTTTTCCTAAATAGTTTTTGATAACTCTCTGATTTATGTGCACATTCTCACTATATTTTTAACTTTCAATAAGGGTAAATGGTTTTATGAGATATACGCTGGTGTTTACTTCAAACCAAAGAAAAAGGAAACAAGCCCCTCTTCTTTATTCATGTATAGGTTTATTAGTAAACTTTTCACTGATTTAAATGTCTTTTGTAGAGAAGTTGAAGATGGCATTGAGGGAAAGCCAGCTCCCAGCAGGATCTGAGGTGTTTGCTGAGAAACAGCCATCCTCAAAGTAATGACCTAGCACTAAGCAGTCTGCTATTGGCAAGGTGATTCTAGAGTTATCTTTAGGAATTAGACTTAGCATTGGCAACTTTTATATTTTGGGATATGGGGTTAATTTATATAGAGGTTAAATTACTTCATGACGATTAGCGATGTCATATGTTATAGAAAGTGTGACGCTTGCTTTTCTTAAAATGGAAAGCTAGAAACCCATGGAGGCACTTTAGAACAGTTGCGAGTTCTGAAAGGATCAAAGAGAACAGAATTGTTGCAATTAAAAAAACTAATAGTGTCACTGTTTTTCTTACCTCCAAACATTACTACTTTTCCTCATTTATTAAACAGACACCTATTATTTGCTCTATATTAGGGAATTAAGCTAGGTTCCTGGAAGATAACATTTTTGTGTGTTCCCTTCAAATAAGTTTTATTATTACTGTTTTATATGTTTAGTGTAGAAAACTGGGAAATATAGAAAAGCATAAAGAAAATAAAAAGCACCAATATTGCCACCCTACTCTCATCTATTATTATTGCATTATTATGTAATTTTGTAGGCTAGATTATCTTAATGGGACTTCTGTCTTGGAAGACAAAGAGAGAGAAGGACAGAGGGAAAAGAAGAAAAAGAGGAAAGAAAAGGGATATGGAGAAGGAAGGAGGAAGGGGGAAGGAGAGAAAGAGAGTGGGAGTGAGAGAGAGGGGGAAAGGAGCCCATTCATGCTTCACTCTCCTGCTTCATCAGCAGGGAGATGGAGTGCAGGTGATTGATGCCTCAGGCTGTACACCAGCCTGCTATTCAACCCAGTACATATGCAGCTGGGCTGCCCCAGCTGGCTGATTTGTACTCCTCCACAGGGAGAGAATACCAGATTGTTCTTTTGGCAAGAAATTCTACTTAAATCTTATCTAGTATGGGTTTTTTTATTATTATATAACCCATAAAAACAAACACAATATAATGGCACAAAGCACTTGCTTTATTGCCAGAAACTGGAATCCTTCACAGAATTGCCCTTCAATTGCTGACATCCTTTCAAGGGTTTTCCCTCATGTGCTCAAAGAAGGTTCATTTGGCTTTTGCTTGCTGGTTTTCATATGTGCAATCATGATCCCACCTCAGGTGGGACTGACAATTGGGTGTTAGCCCCAAGCACAGCCTAGACAGGCACAGCCTGGACAGACACAACCGTTCTTTTGGGGATGTCTTCAGAAATACAATTGGTCTTGGAGTAGAATCTCTGGGTAGTCTATCCTATTCATGATATAGGCTTTTTCTCTTTATTTCTAACAATAGGTTGGCATCTACCTGGCCCGGCTCTTTTAGATGAGCTGCTGGAATTTAGGAGATCTCCTCCTATCAACAAAATAAAACAATGTTAAAAAAAAAAGTCCAACCAACCAACCAACCAGGCAAACAACCAAGAAACAAACTAAATAATTGTCTCCTTTCTACTTCTGGCAAAGCTACAGTAATAGACTCTGGATTAACACTATTTCCTTAAACAGCTAGAATGCTGGCAATAGTATGTAAAAGAAAGGTCTTCAGGGTCGGGCACAGTGGCTCACGCCTGTAATCCCAGCACTTTCGGAGGCAGAGGCAGGTGGATCACCTGAGGTCAGGAGTTTGAGACCAGCCTGGCCAAAATGGTGAAATCCGTCTCTACTAAAAATACAAAAATTAGGTGGGCAGGCATGGTGGTGCACACCTGTAATCTCAGCTACTTGGGAGGCTGAGGCAGGAGAATTGCTTGAGCATGGGAGGCGGAGGTTGCAGTGAGCCGAGATCGTGCTACTGCACTACAACCTGGGCGACAGAGTGAGACTCTGTCTCAAAAAAAAAAAAAAAAAAAAAAAAAAAAAGAAAAAGAAAAAAGAAAAGAAAAGAAATATTGAAAAACAAAGTGCACAGAACGAAGTTCCCTAAGAGAAAGAAAACTAATGAGTTAAAACCTACAAGTTTTCTTGCTTACTATCCTGGGAATGGTTTTCAAGCTGCGATACAGATTAGCGTGGACCCAAAGACAGCCTGACAGTCTTGCTAAATTAAAGAGACAGAGGCTAGAGTTCAGAGAGGCTATCAAGGCTACAGTTTGGTGGGTGATGTACTGGAGTAAGGGGAGGGTGAAGAATGAATGAGAGAGAGAAAGGGAGAGAGAGGGGGAGGTAAAAAGAAAGGAGAGGGAGAGATACATTCACATTTTTTGGCTAAATCTGATCTGAGCATGCATGAGAAGACATTACCAGGGGCTAGGAACCGTGTCACCAGAAGAGATGCATGAAACGCTTTCCAAACTCTTTCCAGAGTTTTTACAAGACTGGAATAGTTTATATTTCCACAAATAACAATAGAAAGCTCACAAAATATTCACAGCATTATAGAATCTTCAGAGTGATTACTAACGGACGTAAATTAACTCAAGAATGCTCTTAGCCTATTGTGCAAATTTTAAAAACAAGATTTTAAAGAATACAATTATTACATAAATTAACTATACTCAGATTTGAAGGAATGCAACAAAATCTAGCAAACAACAACATAATATTCTGTCATCTGATAAAAAATTATCGGGCAAGCAAAGAGGCAAGAAAATATGACCAACAATCAGGAAAAACTCAAATTTAATACAAACAGACCCAGAAATGACAAAGATGATTAAACTTGTAGACAAGAACATTAAAATAGCTATTATAAACAATTTTAATATGTTCCAGAAGGTAGAAGAAAAGATAAAAATAATGAGAGAATTAGAAGAAATTAAAAGAACTTACATTGAACTTCAAAGATAACAAATAAAATATATGAAATAAAAAATGATTGGAACAGATGAACAGATTGGACACTGCAGAAGATAAGATCAGCAAACTTGAAGACAAAGACATATAATCTATCCAAATTGAATGATACAAAAATAAAACAAAAGCAAAACCAGCACCGGTAATTTCAGTTTTTTTTTAATTTGAATTTTTCTCTTGTGTGGGTCAGATTTTCCTGCTTCTTTGCATGCCTAATAATTTTTCATTGCATGACAGAATTTCAGAATTTTATGTTGTTGGTTGCTGAATGCTGTTGCAATATCAAGTTTTAGTAAATGTGTAATTAGAGCCTTAGAGAAGAGGATATTGTGGTGAAGTCAGAAAAATATTTGAAAAAATAATGGCTGAAGATTTTACAAATTTTATGGAAACCATAATTTATGGATCCAAGAGTCTTAAGGACCCCTATGCAAAATAAAACTAAACAAAATTACAAGACACATCATAATCAAATTGCTAAAAACCGGATATAAAGAAAAAAATCTTACAAGTATCTAGGAAAAAGAGACACATTACATACAGAAGAATACAGACAAAAATTATAGCAAACTTATCATCAGTAACTATGCAAGCCAGAAGATAGTAGAGAGTCATTTTTAAAGTACAGGCATGTATCAACCTGTTCTTGCATTGCTGTAAAGAAATACCTGAGATTGGGTAACTTGAAAAGAAGTTTAACTTGATCATGGTTCTGCAGGCTACACAAGAAGCATGATGCTTGCATCTGGTCTGCTTCTGGGGAGGCCTCAGGAAACTTATAATCATGGCAGAAGGTGAAGAGTGAGCAGGCATATCATATGGTGAAAGCAAGAGCAAGAAAGAGGTAGGGGAAAGTGCCACACACACTTTTAAATGATCCAATTGCATGAGAACTCATTCACCATCATGAGGACAGTCCCATAGTATGGTACTAAATCATTCATGAGAAAGCTGCCCCTATGATCCAAACACCTCCCACCAGGCCCCACCTCCATCATTGGGGATTATATTTCAACATGAAATTTGAGTGGGACAACATCCAAACTATTTCAAGGCATACCTCCTTTAATTGTGCTTTACTTTACTACATTTTGCAGATATTGCTTTTTTTTTTTTTTTAAACAAACTGATGGTTTGTGTGGCAACTCTGTGTCAAGCAAGTCTACTGGTACCATTATTTCAATAATATACGCTCATTTTGTGTCTGTGTCACATTTTGGAAATTTCTGCAATATTTTCAGGCTTTTTATTATCATTTGCTGTGGTGATCTGTGATCAGTGATTGTTGATGCTACTATTGTAATTGTTTTGGGGAGCCACAAACTGTGTCCATATGATGATAACTTTAATCCATAAGTGATTTGTGTGTTCTTACTGTTCCACCAATTGGCCATTCCTCCATCTCTTTCTCTGGCCTGAGGCCTTCCTATTCTTTGAGACACAAAAATATTGAAATCAGGCCAATTAATTACCTTATAATGATCTCTAGGTGTACAAGTAAAAGGAAGAGTTAACACATCTCCTACTTTATCAAAAGCTAGAAATGATTAATCATAGGTAGGAAGGCATATTGAAAGTTAAGACAGGTTGAAAGCAAGACTTCCTGCGCCAGCATTAGCCAAGTTGTGAGTTCAAAGAAAAAGTTCTTGAAGAAAATTAAAAGTGTTACCCCAGGGAACACACAAATGATAAAAAAGTGAAACAGCTTTATTGCTGATATGAACAAAGTTTGAATGATTAGGATAAATGATCAAGCCAGCCACAACATTCCCTTAAACCAAAGCCTAGTCCAGAGCAGAACCTAAATTTCTTCAATTCTAGAAAGACCAAGAGAAGTTAGGAAGCTGCAGAAGAAACGTTTGAAGCAAGCAGGGGCTGGTTAATGAAGGTTTAGAAAAAAGCTGTCTCCATAACATAAAAAGTACAAAGTGAAGTAGCACATACTGATGTAGAAGCTGCAGCAAGTTATCTAGATCTAGCTAAGATAATTTATGAAACTGGTGACACTAAACAAGAGATTTTTAATGTAGACAAAACAGCCTTGGAAGAAGATGCCATGTAGAATTTTTATAGCTATAGAGGAGATTTCAATGCCTGGCTTCAAAATTTCAAAGGACAGGCTGACTCTTGTTAGGGGTGGATGGAGCTGGTGACTTAAGTTGAAGGCAGTGCTCATTTATCCTTCCAAAAATCCTAGGGCCTTTGAGACTGATGC